TGTATATATATATATATGTGTGTATATATAAATATTTACGTATATACACATTCGAATTCATATATATATATATATGAATTCGAATGTGTATATACGTAAATATTTATATATACACATATATATATATATATATACATATATATATATATAAATATTTACGTATATATATATGTTTGTATATATATAAATATTTATATATATATATATGAATTCGAATGTGTATATATGTAAATATATATATATACATATAAATATTCATACATGTATATATATATGTATATGTGTATCTATATATATAAACATTTATATATGTATATATATTAATATTACATGATATCAGAAGTTTAATTTGGAATATTTAGATGATTGTCAATTGAAACTCTAGAGTTAAGGAAGATTGAGTTGGAGTAGTGGGAGGATGCGTGATCTACTGGAAAGTGAGTTCGAGGATTAAATTTCAGAGCTTTGGATTTGATATAGAGTCAAGATCGGGGTCGGTGTCGGTGTCGGTGTCGGGGTCGGGGTCGGGATCGGAATCGAGAATATGTTTTGAATTTTTTTTTAAATATTCCAACAGATTTCGGTTGAAAATTTTCCAATGGATTGCGGTTGAAAATGTCGTTGGAAAATTCCAGCGGATTTCAGTTGGAAATTCCGACGAAATCTATTGGAAACATTAATTTCCAATGAAAATTTGGCCATTTTCAACTTCAACATTCATCTCAACAAAAAAAGCCAAATGGCCAACAAGGTTCATTGTTTAAACCAAAATAACGAAGGGAATTCTTCAAACACATATATTTTTTTTTATAATACCAAATGACATTTTTATTTCGTTTCTGAAATTACAAATAAATGCCATAGGTTTAGGTTTAGCTAGCGAAATAAAGACTAATCATGGTTAGCACGATTACGCACTAAGAACATATTGGTTCTCATTAGACTAAACCATAGCTTTATATATTTGAAACCATATATGAAATTAACATTACAAAAAAAATAATAATAACCAAGTCCATGATGAATTGTCAATCTCCTAATTTCACACATGAAATTGAACACACATATATATATATATATATATATTTATACCCTCGTCTTTCCTTCTCTTCACATAGGATTTCTTTCATCGTTTTCAGTCTTTGAACGAAAACCATATATACATACATACATACATACATATACATATATATATATATATAAAAATCAATGGAGAACAAGCCACCGGCTCGTGGAAAACTGGTCACCATCCTCAGCTTAGACGGCGGAGGAGTCCGAGGAATTATCGCCGGAGTTATCCTCGCCCGACTCGAAAAAGAACTTCAGGTGAATCTCGTTAACCATAATTTGAACGTTATGAACGATAACATTAAACACATCCTACCAGAGTTCTTGTCCGATTCTTTCCATAATTCCTATTAATTCTGACAATATATGTTCCATCTATTTATGTGATCATAATATGTTAAAATTATATCTTAGGAAATTACAGTTGTATTTTTTGTTACCTTTGTGTTTCTTCTTGAATTATAATGAAATTAACTTATATATAAATGTTAAAAAGTAGCAAAGAATAAAATTACAAAAAATGGTGTAAATTAATGAGGCAAGAGATAATTAACAAAGTTAAAACTTTATTTATTAATTAAGTTCGTATTTCCAATTTATATCAATCATCTCTAACGTATATAATCATAACTCGAATCTCCAAAATCCATATTTGTTTCCTTATTTCGACCACAACGTGTTTTCTGGGTGGTATTAACTAAACTAATTTTCTGGCTTAAAACACATTAAATTTTCCTATATATATATAGGAGCTGGACGGGGAAGGTGCAAGGCTGGCGGACTATTTCGACGTGATGGCCGGGACGAGCACCGGAGGCCTCGTGACGGCGATGTTGACGGCGCCCAACGAACTCGGCCGACCGCTTTTTGCGGCCAAAGAAATCGTTCCTTTCTACATGGAGCATTCTCCAAAGATCTTCTCACAGCCCGGGTACCGAATTTAATTTCCATATATACGATTAATTAGTTGGAAAATAATCCTCTCCAAGTTTTGAGAAAATTTTCCTATCATCTTGCTTGACCTATGTATATGTTCGGGTCCATAAATGATATAAATAAGATACGTAGCTTTGTTTCGTAAAATATATGTAATTGATTGATGGGTATCCGATTGCATAAAATATAATCAAATGATACCTGTTGAACAAATACAAGCTAGTGGATGTTGAACAAATTCTTTGTGTTATCTATAACAAAACTTATATCCAGACAGTTAGTTATAATCCGATTAATCTCACAAAATAGTCTATAATTTTGTTTTTTTTTTAAACTTTTGACATCGCTTAATTTTTCAACGTGGTTCACAATGAAATTAATTAAGTAATATATGCTTCTAATGAGAGTGTAATGAATTAAATGGACAGAGGGTGGCTTAGTGTGTTGCCGATGCCACCAAGGCTTCTGTCTGGACCGAAATACGACGGCAAATATCTTCACGAACTGTTAAGGAAGTTGCTTGGAGACAAAAGACTTCACCAGACGCTAACCAACATCGTTATACCTACCTTCGACATCAAGAAACTAAACCCTACAATCTTCTCCTCCTACAAGGTCCTCTAATTTCCACACATGTCCCTAACGTGAAAACGTACGGAAAGTCTCTGACTTCTTTTGAAATCTAACATGTGGGCCTTTGATTTATGTCTCTTTTTTTTGTCCTTGTGAAGATATTGACTGATCCGACTTTAGATGCCAAGTTATCGGACATATGCATCAGCACGTCGGCTGCTCCGACATTTTTACCTTCCCATTACTTTGTGAACGAAGATATTAACGGGAAGAAGACAGAGTTCAACCTCATTGATGGAGGAGTCACTGCCAATAACCCGGTAAACTAATTTTGTATATATATATATATATATATGAGTTCATGAAACTTCTACAAAGTTCGTGTATTTTGGTAGAAATTTCAAAATTCGTGTATTTATACTAAAACTTTTAAAAGTTCACGTTTTTTTAGATTATTGTTACTATTTTATATGACATTTTTGTCCAAACGTTATAAATTATATAATGGGTTGGATTGGTTTCGATTTTTTGTTGGTTATATGTCAGACTTTGGTGGCAATGACTGCAGTGTCTAAACAAATCATAATGAACAATCCGGACATGGGGAACATGAATCCGTTGGGGTACGACCATTTCCTCGTAGTATCGATAGGGACAGGATCGGCGAAGAAGGAAGAGAAGTACAATGCCACAAAGTCCTCCAAATGGGGAATCTTATCCTGGCTCTATGAAGACGGATCGTCTCCGATTATAGATTGTTATTCGGAATCGAGCAGTGACATGGTCCACTACCACATCTCCGTCGCGTTTCAAGCCCTTGATTCCCAGGAGAATTACCTTAGAATCGACGTAAGATATATATGAACATACAGTAAAACCTATGCTGTCAACACCAGTAATACAGTAATTAACCACAGATTCTTTTGGCTTGATTTCACTGGTGAAAATGGCAGGATGACACACTGGAAGGAGATACGAGCTCTCTTGACATATCGACAAAGGCTAACTTGGAAAATCTTGTGAAGATCGGGGAGAAGATGCTGAAGAACAGAGTCGAGAAAATGAATATTGAAACTGGGAAATACGAGCCGGTTCCTGATGATATTACCAACGAACAAGAACTCAAAAGGTGAATGATAGATTTGGTTTGCTTAGCTCCCAAGTAATGGTTTCAGCTCACAAAACTAATGATTGTTAACTTCATCAATCGTCGTTTTTCCCCCAAATATATATTCTGTGGCAGGTTCGCGAAAATACTTTCGGATGAAATGAAACTCCGGAAATCCAGAAGCCCGACTGCATAGTCTGATCCTCAACAATGGCAATGGACCAAGCTTTGCCTTTTGCTATGTCCATCCGACAATCTATTTCATATGGATTTTGTTATGTTTGTCTTTGTGATGAACCTGTTTGAGTTCATATTTAATGTGTATGTGTCTTTGTGATGAAACTGTCTCTATGCTTTAATTTTTGAACTTCATTGTATTTCTTCCGGAAACAATAATAAAGGAATAACAATCATCTTTATTTGATTTGTTAACATATATTGTTGGAAAGCGTACGATATGCCTATATATATATACATATAATTTAAATGACCGTAACGTTGTTTCATTAAAAAAAAAAAAAAAGAGATGTTAGGTGTTGCGCCATGTGAGATTAAGCTCTATAAATAGACAATCAGTCAGCCGAAGGGTTTCATTCATTAAACCATTCGCTTCGTCTGTTGCTTTATTTCTGCTCTTTCTTTCTTTCTTTTTTTTTCCATCTTCTTCTCTCGTTCTCGTCTCAATATTCATCAATGGCGAGAAACAGCGTCTCCGTCTTCGCATTTATCGTATTTTTCACTATTCTAATCCACCAGAATAGTTCAATCGAAGGGCGAAAACTGAATCTCGGCGGAAATTCAAAATATAACACTTTGGAGAATGTGAAGGTCGAAGAAAATGTAGAACCCGACGAGTCTGTTCCGCCGCCGCCGCCGTCGGCTTCATTGCCACCGAGCCATGGAATAGATAGCTTTAGGCCAACAGCTCCTGGCCACAGCCCCGGTATCGGTCATTCCGTACACAATTAAATATCTTGGACCAAAAACATATGATAAATATATACATAATATGCTTCGTGTGATTGATTTCCCATGTTTTCGGTACCATGCAATCGGTACGTGTTTTGTGGTTGTTTGCGTTTCCATGCAATTGGTGCGTTTCAAATAATTATCAGCCTTTGTCTGTTTTCCCAACATGGGTTTGTGTGGCATCTACGCAAATGTAATTTAATTACTGTTTCATTATATTTTTTTCTTCCTTGTACTGAAATCAGCAATGAAATGATTAAGCTCTACAGTATGAAAGTCATTATGGTATGAATATTTTTTTTTATAGACCACGGTGGTGTTTTGAACGACGTTTAACTATATATAAACCGATATATTTAAACCTTACATGTTCAGACTAAATTTTGAACATTTTTGTTACAACTTGTTCGGAACTACAAATCGATAATTTAATAAATCAGTGTTTAATATAAAATCACATGATCGCCGTTACTTTTTAAAATTAGATTCATTAGTCACGTGGAGAAACTGATTAATTGATTAGAGATCACAATATAAAAAAAAAACAGTATAGTTTTTTTTTTACTCGAAATCTAGAATGTATAGTTTGAAATTTGAAATATCATGAACAAAACCTATAATCTAACAATATATAGGCGTTTTATAACTTCTCAAATCTCAAATATTATACGTTCAAACATGGTTTTGTGGCATCTACGCAAATGTAATTTAATTACTATTTCATTATTATTTTTTTCTTCCTTGTACTGAAATCAGCAATGGAATGGTTAAGTTTCCTTTAGATCTGCTCTACAATATCAAAGTCATTATGATATAAACATTTTTTTTTATACACTACGAGGTGTATTAAACTGCGTTCAACTATAAAACAACACCTTTAAACTTTACACATTCAGACTAAATTATGAATATTTTTTTTGCTAACTTGTTCGGAATTACAAGTCGATAATTTAGTAAATCGGTGTTTAACATAAAATCACACGATCACTAGTGATTAATTGAAATTTGAAATATGATGAACGAAACCTATAATCTAACAATATAGGCTTTTTATAACTCCTAAAATATTATATATTCAAAATATAGCTTAGGATATTTGTTTTCGCCTGTGAATTATCTCTTAAAAAAGTGGAAAAAAAATGTGACATGGGGTTAATGTATTGTCATGAGCTAGTGTTTGTTATATGATAATCGGCAAATACAAATGTATATTTCATTTGTAAATAATCAACCTATTTTTAATTCCCATTTCTACTAAATTAGAGCTCCTTAAGGTCGGTTGTCGTTGTATTTTTATTTCGTTACCATATATTCGAAAGGGCTACCGTACACTTTGAAACTAAATAGCTTGGAATGTATTAAATCCTCGTAGTCATATTAATGTATGATAAGAAAGTGTTTAAAACAGAGATAGAAGGTGGGAGATTCGAAGAGTGCTTTGGATCATTTTTTAAAATTAAATAATTAATTAATTATAACTATATACTTTTATAGTTTTGTACTTCCTTGACTAACAAAATCAACGGTGCTAAATGCACGACAGGCTTGCAAACCCTACTCTGCTTTCTTTATTAATATTTAATTTTTCTAACCAACTAAATCTTTGATTTTGCTAGCTCATGGGTCATGAGCTTCTTACTGAACCAAAAAACATGTCCTAGTGGCTCTTCTGAAGCACTATTAGCCAACTAATATTGTATAATTACCATATATTATATATACACACACACATTGGAAAAGGAATGTGAACAGGGAAATCTTTTCCATGTAAATATAATAACTATATGAATATAAGATTGCAATCTTAGGCCCGAGAATTTGTACTTTATTAGTGTAGAAGTTGGTGGGAAGTGAGTGGGACCCTGTGTTGGTACTTCCTAGGACACTGGAGCCAATCAGAATACGGAACAAATTATTATTTTTTCTAGCAGAGAAAAAGGCTTACAATGTTTAAATTGAACCTATTCACTTGTGTATATATATATAAAGGGAGCTAATGATTTAATGATTTTTGTACACTTTTTCCACTCTGGCATTCAAATCATAAAAAAAATATATCGTGCAATTTTAAAAGAATATGACAAATATGTGTCTACAGACAAGTTAGATATAGAATATAGTATGGTGAATTTATAGATAATATTTCGAGCAATAAATGAAATGATAGAATTTTTTCGGAAGAGGACCGCACATGGAATAAGGTTGTCTGCATGCAAACCATAGTTTATGTTATCGAGTTTCTCTTTTTCTTCTGATTTGTGTCGGAGACTTTAATTTTTAAGCCCAACTAACATCTCACCTGCAGATATTTGAACATTTAAGAATATCGAACGTAATTCCTCTGTCTGCAACCATTGAATAATGTTATTCATTTTGTTTTTGTTTAATTAATTAGTTACTGGCTCTTTTAGGCAACTTGCAAAAATGACGGCTGAAAAAACGCGAAGGGGCTTTGGCCCGTTCATAAATATACGGAAATAATTTTGAGTAAATATTTACAAAAATAAATTTGCAATTCTATCAATTAAGATAACAATTTATGAGTACATATTTCATCAAAACCCTAGCTTTGTTCTTCCAACATCTATGCCCGGCACATGTTGTTGTGTCTCAGGTCAGTTGCATACGAAAATAATTAAGAATATATTTGGAGGGAATATTGTAGTTGTAAATGTTTCTTTGTTTATTTCCTTTCGATGAAAATGTTAACATTTTATCTTGTGTATTTTTTTATAAAGTTATTGCCTCGTAAAATTATTTGAACATATATATATACATATATATTTTGTTTTGGTTCGAACCGTATCGAACTGAAAATCTCGTTATTTTTTTCCGAACCGTATTATTCAAAATTTCTGAACGATATATTTTTATGGAACCGAATTTTCCGAAATCGAACCGAATTTTATAAAATTTGATATAAATTTTAGAATACAAAATAAATCGTTTTCGAGCCGGACCGTTAAAATTCCGAATCGAAAGGACCCGCATCTATGCCATAAGGAGACGATTAATCACATGTTCGAATAGTTGAAAGGGCCAGTGACCATATGCAAAACCCAATAGACGTAACATCCATTCTTATATACTTAATTTGAAAAAAAGATTATTAAATTTATTTTGTTGGGTAACCCGTAGGGTTCTTCGAGCTATATATATACCTAATTAGCAAAAGGGAAATGGAAACCCTCCCATTTTTAATTATGAATGTACACTTTAGTATCTTTTCGTACGATAGTCTCACATAGTTTTTTTTTTTTATTGATTCGTAACGGTTGGTTCATTTAATTATTTTATTTTTTTTATATAGCCAAAAACTGAATTAATTTGCTCTATGAAAACAGTATATAAAAATCCTTCGAATATTTTTGGAATATATTGTGTTTCCATGGTCCTCTAATAGTGATGCACATTAAAATGAATACAACAGAATAAAAAAAGTAGAACATGGTAGAATAAAAAAATATATATAAAAAAAAAGGATAAAATCCTAACTTCAGTCGTGAGCTTTCCGTTCTAAAAATGTGTAGAATAACTCAATTCAATTTAATTTATTAAAAATAAATAGTTAAAGCTTTTTTTTTCTTCCCACCTTATTCCTAAAATATATAGTTTGAAATGGCGGTCAAATGGTGGGATAAAATGAAATACTACATCCCACTAGATGAACAATCATTCATATCTATAATCTTTTCGTATCCGTAAAGAGATCAAACTAAATAGAATATTAAAATCCAAATATTAAAAAAAATATCTCAAAATATAAAAAAAATATTAGGAAAATTATATTATCATAATATAGTGGACCTTTTCTTTTTCTTTTCAAGTCCAATTATATAAGCTTATTTCTTTTTTGCTAATTTTGCTTCGAGACTCCTAGGATATAAATTTGTAAGATCGGCCCTAGATCCAAAAATCAAAAATTAAAATTCAGCATGGAAAAGCCCAAACTAAAAAAAAACTTCCAAGACTGCTAACTAAAAACATTCGAGGCTTAGTGATATATATATATATATATATATCAATTATATTGGCTTATTATAGTACACTCATTTATGGAAGGCGAGTAGTGATTTACACTACATCCGATGGAATTGTATGCACACATATAATATATATATATATATATATATATATATTGCTTTACTTCTAATCTCAAAGTCGATACGCTCTCACTTCTGGTTTCGGACAGAGAAGAGAAAATGCTGTCTCTTTATATCAGTTCAGAGCGATTCTCGAGAATCTTATTCAAATGGGCAGACACGCATTCGTGTATCTCATAAAATATGTATGCCGGTATATGTTTTTTGTATATAAATACGTTCCCTTTTTTTTTTTGGGTGAAGGAGGCAAGAGGAATATTAGACAGGGA